GCCCACCTCGCCCGCCCGCCCACAAATGGACGACCCACCTGATGTATTGCTTCATTTGCGAAGTAAAATATGAAGCGAAGGGATTGATATGAAGCGGCCGCGGTGCTGCATGGATATATGAGTACATACGTGCAGCCGTACCTACCGTAGCGGTTATTGGCAAGATGCCTACGGGAAACTCGTCCAAAATTGCTTTTTGAGTCATTAAGAACGAAGGCTTTTCTTCGCAGGTTTTTGACCGTTTCACTTCGTTTTTTCGCCATTTCTCACTATATAGCGCCCTGCTAGCATTTAGACTGAGTACCATTATCGTGCCAACTGGCTTTAAACCACTGACGCTGAAAACGCAGGCGGACGCTCAAAAGCAAGATCGACACCGTACTTTCCTAGTCGCTGAGAAAACCGGCGAAAACTTAAAGCGCTGTTGGATGCCCGAAACGCTTACGCAGTGTAAGAACGCATCCTAATTTGGATAAAATCTAATTTTGCTGAAATTATTTATCGATTTTCTGTTACTCAGTCGTAAAATCAGGACATGTCCTGGCGTTGGGAATATTTTCCGAAATAAGACGCCCTCCAGAAGATAGCCTTGTCCGATCGGCCTCTCAAGCTTCTGGTTTGATAGTGGCGCCTACAGCGAGGGTGCGTATGTAACGCGTCCAAAGACGGAAAACTCAGCAATGAAAAGTATCAGGCCAAGCAGGCGTCGCCCCTCCTTACGTTGGGGATTCCCCTACGTTCGACGTACTCTGCCCCAGTTTTTCTGGAAGTCCCTAGGGAGCGCTTTATTCAAAGGAACGTAAAATCGTAAACCTCCGCTTTACTTTTTTTTTGCTTTCGTGGTGTTTTCAGCGGCTATAGAGTGGTCCTCCTTAGACATTTTCTCTTTTCCCTCTAACTTCGAATTACGGCCCGCAAAAAAAACTTCGCGATTTGTACGGGAAATATCCGCAGCTGTCGAAGAAATCATTAGTTTTTGAGGTGGCTCGCTGAATTCTCTTGTTTTTTTTTTTAAAGTACTTTGAGGAACAAACTTTTGTTATACTCTGTGTTTCACTGCAAAGCAGGATTGATCCTGACACTGGTTTACTGCAAAAGCTGGCTCGCTCCAGCCTCTTGGTTTTTCGTATTTTTTGTACTTTTTTGGTGTTTACGTACATACTTGTTAGTTATTTACTGAGACAAGTTCTGTAATGTTTGTGAATGTTACGAAACACAATGCCTTCAGTAGTTAGTAGGATAAAATACGTTATTTCACGAGCTGTGGGGTACAAAAGTATGCTACAACTTATAAGTTTTGAAAAGAGATCCCATCGGAGAAATGGTTTTCATTTTTGCGTGCTTTTATTCCAAATTCCTCTTCCAAAGTGCCTGGAAATTTCTTCGCGCAGGCTCAGGCATGTAGCTCCCAGGTTGCTGTTCTACTCAATTTTCGGAACATTCGCATGGTTCCCAATAATTTCATTTCGGCCCGCGCTGCGCCTTATTCTGACATTCAACTTCCGGGGAAAAAGGCGTTATCATGACGTTCAGTCGCTTCACGCGCTTCAGGCTTCAGAACCAAAGTTCAGGATTCCATTCCATAGCTTATGACTGCGCGGGGCACGGTATATTATGGGGCGTATAATGATGGTGGAGCTCAGTTTTTTCCCCCGTTGACTCCGCTTGGCGCTTTTACTCCTGTCCACCGATTGAAGCGATTCTAGCAGTCCCATTGGCTCTGTGTCAGTTAGTTCAGGCTCTACTCCACGACGCCTGTTTTAAATAAATGAGGACTGAAATCTGAAAATGGCGCATCGTTTTTCCTCATAATTAGTTGACCCCAATTCAACACGAGCTGAATGTCTTTTCTTTCTTCACTTTTATCCACTCTCATGCGGACCTCCGTAGACTATATTGATTGTAAATTTGACACACTGATCACAATATATGTGTTCATAAACTAATCGCATTCTTTAAAGAAAACTTATCCTACGGCTATAATAAACGGCAACGTCTGTCTTCTGTTTCTGCTTGGTCTGTCTGTCTGTCGCGGAAATCGGAATACCTGATACGAGAGCCAGGCTAGAAGGGACGGGTTAGTTAAGGGGCGGTTGGTAACGGGCATGGGCGCAAAAGAGCGTACGGAAACACACTTGTGAACGAGCTAAGCCCCGCCACTGTGAGCGGGGCGGTGCGCCCACAGTTGTGAGCCCTTACATATTTCCAAAAAACCCGTTAGGTCCGGTTCAGTAGAAGATCCCGGAGAGCGGAAATTGTGGGTAAGGATAAGCAGTCAGTTGGCGGATGAAATGAGGGAGTCACACCCGTGATGGACGGGGCGTGCTATAGGTGGGCGGGCTTGACTACAAGAAACTTTCAAAAAATTCGTTAGTTCGGTTTCTAGAGATCCCGGAGAGTGGCGGAAATGTGTGGAATTTAGTAAGCAGTCATGCCCAGACGAAATGACGGGTAGTCCACACCCGGTGAATGGGCGAGGCGTGCGTCATAGGGTAGGCGGGTGGCTCGCTACACAGATTTCAAAAAAATCGTTAATTCGGTTCCAGAAGATCCCGGAGAGCGGAAATTGTGGGAAACGATAGGCAAACAGTTGGCGGACGGAATGAATGAAGCACACCCACGATGGGCAGGGCGTGCGCCGAAGTGAACGGTGCCGGGGATAAAAACCCTCAAAATACATCCGAAAAACTCCAGGAAATGGGGAGTAAGTGAAAATGAGCAATGGTTGGGCAGATGATGTTAGTAAGGGATAACCGTAGGGAGTATACCAAGTGGTTCGTGCCGTCGGCAATAATTCATAATTCGGTTCCCAAAACACAGCTGTGGCATAATAGCAGTGAACGGTATGTGCCATAGTGAATGGGAGTCAAATCAAGGATTCGTAAATGAGTATGTTTATTTATTTGTTTATTTACCCACTATTTACTGCACAACAATTTAGGCAAATGCACCCTGCTTCCGTTCATCCACTAAACATCCAATACCGACAGACCACACATTGACTATACAGTAGTTTCACAGCTGTTTACCATTGGGAGGGTACTTGCTGATCTCTATCCTACTATATATAAACGGCAACGTCTGTCTGTCTGTTTGTCTGTTTGTCTGTCTGTCTGTCCGGAAATTCGGAATCACCTGAAGAGCCAGCTAGAAGGGACGGGTCAAGGGTGGGTTGGGTAGGGCATGGGCCAAGATGTACGGAACACACGACCGTGACCGAGGCTAAGCCCGCCCACTGTGGGCGGGGCGTGCGCACAGTTGTGAGCTACATATTTCAAAAAATCGTAGTCCGGTTCTAGAAGATCCCGGAGAGCGGAAATTGTGGGTAAGGATAAGCAGTCAGTTGGCGGATGAAATGAGGGAGTCACACCCGTGATGGACGGGGCGTGCTATAGGTGGGCGGTGCTTGCTACAGAACTTTCAAAAATTCGTAGTTCGGTTCTAGAAGATCCCGGAGAGCGGAAATTGTGGGATAGCGGTGGCCGTCGCGGAATGGACTAAGCAGTCACCGTTGCCGAGATGCGAAATGAGGGCAGTCCACACACCCGTGGATGCGTGCGAGGCTGCTATAGGTAGGCGTCGGTGCTCGCCTAACACAACGTTTCAAATCGGTTAAGGTCGGTTCCAGGAAGATCCGCCGAGAGCGGAAATTGTGGGAAACGATAGGCAAACAGTTGGCGGACGGAATGAATGAAGCACACTTACGATGGGCAGGGCGTGCGCCGAAGTGAACGGTGCCGGGGATAAAACCCTCAAAATACATCCGAAAAACTCCAGGAAATGGGGAGTAAGTGAAAATGAGCAATGGTTGGGCAGATGATGTTAGTAAGGGATAACCGTAGGGAGTATACCAAGTGGTTGGTGCCGTTTATTCTGTGGTTCCTCATCACTGACTGGACCGCTGTATAGAAAATTTTTTGACTGTCTGCTAGGGCTGATATACTTAGCAGTGAAACGCAAGTGCGTCCGTAATCTCTCAAACAATTTTTTTTCGACCATTCGACCGGCGAAGCACCGGGACCCACTTCACACCCGGAAGGAGGATCGGCCGGCGAAGCCGGCCGATCCGACTGGCCCTCCCTCTCATGGAAAACTTCTCGCCGGGACCCACTTCACACCCGGAAGGAGGATCGGCCGGCGAAGCCGGCCGATCCGACTGGCCCTCCCTCTCATGGAAAACTTCTCGCCGGGACCCACTT